ACCTTAATCCCGTTGAAAATGTTTGGGAACTTCTTAAACGGGAAATTTCCAATGAAAAAGTCACAAACAAAATTGTTTTATTTGAAAAACTAATATATCATTGGAACCAAAACGAAAAACTGAAGCAAACTGCCTTTAGCTGCATTGAAAGTAAGCCAAGACGGGTACAAGCGGTAATCAAAGCCAAAGGGGGTTCAACAAAATATTAAAAATTATATAAATATGTAATCTTCTCAAATGTTTTATTGCTGTTTATTATTAAATATATTATAATTAAAGCATTTTACATAAAAAAAATTGAATTTCAAAATAAATTTCTAAATAAAAAGTTGTGAAGAAGTCGATTTTTGAAAAAAATCATAGGTGGTCATAATAATATGGCCAGGGACTGTATGTTTATGGTAAAAAAAAATGGTTTAAGCTTAATCCAACTAAATGTTCTTGTATTTCATTTGGTCGTATAAATAATCTAATAGCTAATAGATATGTTCTTAATGATGTACTCTTGGATTCAGTTACTGGGATTAGAGATTTGGGTGTATTATTGGATTGTGTATTGACATTTGGAAGCTATTTTCTTAAAATTAAGGAAACAGGATTTCGTAATCTTGGTTTTATTTATCGTAACAGTTATGATCTCTCACCTATTGTATTTAAATTATTTTATTGCTCTCTGTTACGCTCAGGTCTTGAATACTGCTTTGTTGTTTGGTCCCCATTTCATCAAGTAAACATTGATGGATTGGAGAGCGTTTAGAGAAAGTTTCTAAGATCTTTAGCTTTTAAAGCACATATTAATATAAAAAAAACTGAAAATTATTTCATAGATTATTCTATAATAATGTCTCAATTTAACATTGCTACATTGAAGAACCGCAGGTTGAGAGCTGATATGTTATTTTTGTTTTAAATTCTAAACGTTATTAATTGTCCCTCGTTATTAGCAAATGTACACTTAAACACAATACATAATAGAGAACTCGGCACACTGCACTCTTTTATATTCCTTTTCATAGAACTGATTATGCTCGTCATTTTCCCTTGTAAAAAATATTCTCAGCTCTTGCAATGACCTATTGGATCCTTTCTGCCCAAACATTAATACTTTCAAAAGGCAACTTAAGAATCTAATTATTAATCTAGACATGTAATACTTTTTTTTAACTTTTGTGATTTGATATACTGTTTTAATGTAAAAACTTTTAACTGTTTACTTGTTTCTTTGTTATTGTTTTGATGTTTATTGTACATGATCTTTACTTTTTACTATTTGTTATATTTTATTGTAAATGGTTCTACCGTTGAAATAAATAAATAAATAAGTAAAGTAAAGACGTCCAATGTATGCAATTCAAAAATATTGACAATATACTTTTAAAGTCATCTCTCCAATGGCGCTGCAGTCCAAATCGAGCCTTGGCTTCCTCCAAACTATGCCTCCAACCTTGTCGGTCCCGCGTCGATCTTCTCCACGTTCTAACGTCTAGCATTTTTTTTAATAGGTCCAAAGGAGCTTTTAACGAAAACGGAGTATGGAGGTGGAGAATTTTTATCATTTTTATAAGATGCCCCAAAAAATAAGGTTCAAGATGTCGCACAGCGTGGCGAAAATGCCAAAAAACACTTAAAAATGATTTTTTTTCATATTCAATCAATTGATGATTAGTAAATTTGCATAGGGCTACATTTGAGGCAATCGGAACTTCAATTTTAGAGCCCTTTGTCCACTACAAATCTAATAGTAGCCTTTAGAAGGCGAATAACCATGAGTGCGGGAATTTGACAAAAAATTTAATAGTCGAAAAAAAAATGTATTATTATAGACGGGTATAATTTCGCTCATGTCTCGATAGTTGGGAGGAAGAAAATGAATAATTGAAAATTCAAACCGAAAATCGGTTTTGATCAGCCCAGGAAACCTAAAGAATTCCAATTTTTAAAGAAGTTTTTTTCCAATACTCTATAAAAAATGGCCTCTTATGCAATCTTTGAAATACTAATTAATTAGTCCTCAAGGATCTGAATGAAGATTCTGAAAGGGAATTGGCTGAATAAACCTGATAGACAATTATATAAATATTATATAACAATAGAAACAGAAATTTACAATTCCTAATAAAATAAAATTGTCGTCTATTAAAAAGAAAAAAGTAAATAGCAAGGTATTCTAAAAACTTCATCTTACACCTTACCTTCAGAACTGGAAGGTATATATTCAGACACATCAGCAGAGAAAGGCTCTCTATCATCACTACCATTCCGGTCTAGAAATTTGCTACAACCAGGCCGTAAGTTTCTTTTAAATTCGATTAAATCATTGACATGTTGAATAAGTATTTCATCGGATGATACATATGATGTATTCGCACATAAAGGATTTTCTGTGACATCAAACAACTGTTGTAAGTTTTCCATCTCGCCAGAAAATAAATTTTGTTCTACATCTATAATAACATATAAAATACTTATTCTTACTTTAAAAAAGTATGGTTATCATAATTACTTACCATGTTCAGCGTCTATTTCACTATTTTTCAAAGCTAATTCTAGTATACGCGTATCACGATTCATTTTGAAAATATATCTCGATATTAAAACACTTTTATAGTAAAAAATATCAACGAAAATAAATAATGTACAAGTTAATTCGCGTAAATGGGATATACTGTAACTAGTCAAACACAAACAAAGCAGAAACTCATTTAACATATAGGATTCTCCGGTAAACTATTCATACAACAAGATTGACTTACGGGATACACCTTATGTTTGATTATTTTATAAATTAAACATACGTGCAACAAAGCTGTAACTCCTTTAAAAACCTTATTAATCGTCAAATATATAGAAACTAAATATTTGACATAGGGAGTAACAGTGTTACTGCCTTTTTTACGCTGAAATGACACACGTAAGTTAAAGTACAACTTTTTTCAACGGAGTATTAGCGAAACTATTGAGAACTAAACTATGCCGTTTATATTGACGTGTACGCATTTTTTTACTGAATTCGCCTGTGTTGAAATCTGAAAATAGATTTAACTTGATTTACAACCTTGTTCAATGAGGGTATCGAATTAACCTAGTCAGTTAGTTCACTTCTCTCACGAGTTCCTTATGATTCCATTGTCTCTAGCATTTTTATTACTCTTGATATTTCAGTTCTTTTACTTATTACCTAGTCGGAGCTTTCATATTTTATTGTTTCTAGTACTTTTTCGAAATGTCATTTTCGTTTATCTAAGATATCTGGTGTGCATCATACCATTTCTCCTTTTCACTCTTTTCAAAAATTTTTGGTGTCTTTGGTATTGCTGCTTCTGTATTTTTCTAGCTATTTTCAATACTACTTTCTGGGAGCAATCTTGACTACTTGTTTACCAGTTCTAAAGCAGTTTTCTGAGTTTCTGGCGAGAGCCATCCCTAAGTGAGAGCGCCCACCAAAGTGGCGTGGCACGTGGCAAGTGGCAAGTAGCACGCGTCTAGCATGTTTCTTAAAATGTAACCAATGAAAATGAATGATTAGAATGAATGACGTCACTGTCATTTTGGTGTGCGCTGAATCATTCGTTTTCATTGGTTACATTTTAAGAATCATGCTAGACGCGTGCTATTTGCTACTTGCCACGTGTCACGCCACTTTGGTGGGCGCTTTCACTAAGATACCTACGTTAACTGTGCAGTAATCGCATGCACACCGCCTACAATATAACTATGCATCGTGAATAAAATCTATACACACGGCGCCCTGGACCCGACTACTGCGTATATATTTTATATACAAAGCGCTTAACGTGTTAAAGATTTCCGCATTACGGAACCGCTCTTTAACGTTAAATGATCTCGTTAGAAGCTCGAGAAACTCATATTTCTGCACAAACTGTAAGGAGAGTCCTGCATGAAAGTTGTTTACGTTCTAATAAGCCAGTTATTCCCTAAATTAACAGCAACTCATTGAGCTCACAGGATAAGATTTATGAGTAATCACAGAGGTTTTTTGATGAGTCTCATTTTTGCTTACGATCTCTGCAACGCTGAACGCGAACGTATGGAGGACACCCAGAGAACGATTTGCACCTTGCTGTTTCACTCAAAACCCCGTTTGGTGGTGGATGTGTTATAGTATGGACAGATATTTCTTTCAACGGACGAATTAATTCTCATCGAACATGTTACTCGTAACAGCATAATGGGAACATATACCACAATATTCAGCAGATTTAGCAACTTATTGCAAGTATGCTTAGGCGCATTGAAATCCTACGCAGATGTAGAAGAGGAAATACCCGATACTAAATCTAAAAAACAGCCAGCTGCGCAAATACAATTGTCTTTTTTCTTTTGTTTAATTTTCGAACAATGTTAATTTTTTGCGTTACATATTACTTTCTTTTGGGTTACTTGTTTTTCCTATTATTACTTTTTTAGTGTTTTAAATAAACGATTTCCATTATTAATGTTTACTCCACATTTAAATAACTTAACAGCTACAGAAAGTATTTGAATGTTCTGGCGATCTTCTGGCACCTTTTTGCCATAGTTAAAGGGTTTAGATACGTTTATAACCGATAATGAAACCTCAATCTACCATTGAACTCTCAAAACTAAAGGTCGCCGCTCCAAACACTAAATGTAGAAAGGTTTCCGTCACCAAAGAAGGCAAAAAAAGTTTTGTTAACAAGTACTAATACAACAGGCAAGTAAATTTTGAAATCCCCAGGGAATGGTTCTGAAGATATTTTCTAGTGGCACGTTTTACATTGACTATATTTTTCTTGCGAATAAACTGAACTAATTAGAATTAAAATTACGTATTGTATTGACTTTTCTACTTCCAGTTTGGAAATCCTTTTCAAAATATAAATAACCTATCAATAAAATGATTGCCCGGGCATTTGAATTAATTCTCCTATTCATAATCCTGCAAATATTTTTATTGTAAGTCACAAATGTGCACTTAGTTTTATTAAAGTTTTGGTGTAAAGTAATATTTTTTTTAGATCGGAGCCGATGGACGACGATCTCAAATTTTCCTTGCTCTTTCAACTGCTGCTGAGTTCAGAGACCACCTTTCCGCATTCAGCGACTTCTACTCTTCACTTGGTAAGTAAACAGATGCCGCTTTTTTTATATATCATTTTCATTTGAAGTACAAATATTTTGAATGTTACCAATAGTTTATGCATTATCGAATTTTTATTTATTCCAGGACCCCCCAACCCTGACAATGTCCCAGAGGATGGTAAGCTTAAAAGCGAAATGATGATTAAGGACAACCGCAGATATTATTTGGACCTAAAGGAAAATTCAAGAGGACGTTTCTTGCGAGTTTCCCAGATGATCACCAGAGGAGGGCCACGTAGTCAGGTAGCTATACCCGCACAGGGTATGATCGAGTTCAGAGATGCTCTGACAGATCTACTTGACGAATTCAGTACTGATGAACATTCTTACAAACCGGACTTGCCGGAAGGTAGACATATGCACGTCGACAACAAAAACTTCTATTTTGATATAGGTAAGTAAATTTGGTGGCCTTATTGAGTGAAAACGACAATTTATGTTGTCACAGAAATTTTGTTGTTTAACCTAATCTGCAGTATCAATATCAGCATTGATATTTTTCTTGTTTTACCTGTTGACTCTCGAAAGAGTAGTGAAATCCTGGACCAGTCCCCTTCTGAGTGGATTAACATTAGGTATCATTCGCATATGTAAGCTTCTAGTACCACCTATCGTTATTCCATCTCTCCATTCTTGCAAGACTTTTATAATAATGTACTATTCAAATATATAATAAATAGTATGGGTGACGTAATACAGCCTTGTCTTACACCGTATTTTGGTCTAAATGGTTTGGAAAGAACCTTTACTTTTCCTAACTTCCATATTTTCCAAGACCAACAGTAGTCTTCTCCATTTCACGCAATCGAAAGTGTTTTAGTGTAATCGATGAAGCATAAAGTTTATAACATTAAATTCGTATGCTTTTTATATTATTATTTGCCCTCTCGTTCCTTTTACAAACACAAACCCTGTTTGTTCATCAAATATCTATGGTAGCTAGTTTTAAGCGGACACATAGAATATGAAGTAAAATCTTCATTGCATAAGATATAAGAGCTATTTTTCTGTAGTTACAACATTAAGCAAGTGAATCCTCACTGCGGTGGTATTTATTTTGACTCAAACTTGTCATGTTACCAAATCATGAAACATTGCTTATGGATTGTGTCGATACCTATTTCTCCTACTGCTTTTATTATTTCGATCACCGGGTGATTTGTTGTTTTTTTATTTTTATTTGTTGTTTTTGGTAAAATATCAATATTTTCTCTTTGTGGTGTTCGCCTAAAAATGCTGAAAAGTACTCACTTAAAGCCGCAATATCTTCTTCATTGGTCATCAATAGCTGGTCAGCGAGTATCTTTTTTTCTATATGTATACTTTTTCAGTACAAATTGGATGTATTTTAATGCTCCCCTATATCCATGTTCATTTTGTTAACATTTTTTACTGTTTTTTACTTTTGTTTATAGACTGAATTTCTTAATTTTCTATTATGCATCATTCTTATATTTCCTGTATGACCTAACATTTTTACAATAGTATATTCCGCAAAAAATTTGGTCATACTTTGTTGAATTTTTGTTGTATTAGAAGTTGTGTTACATTCTCATGATTGATTCAACCCCTCTTACAGGACAAAACAACCGCGGTGTATACATGCGCATCTCTGAAGTGAAAACTAATTTCAGAACAGCTATTACCGTACCTGAAAAGAGTTGGCAAAGGTTCAGAGATATATTAAGTGACTATTGTGACAAGATTAAGCAGCCATCTCAAGGTTCTGGTGGAGGTGTTGCTTCCCAAGATCAGCCACATCCATTGGTAAGTTATTTTATTTTTTATTTCTGTTCAGCGATAAATTTGATCGAATTCTTTAAAGAACCTTATTAATAATGATACAAATGGTGAAGGAATAGAATGGATATTATAGAAATGGGAATGTTCTAGTATAAAGTAGGAATGGGTAAATTAAGAACAAGCGTTAACATATTTCAGAAATTCTACGATTTGAAGTCTATATGTTATGCTTTGCCAACGTTAGATCGCGCAAAAGAGAAGGAATGTGTGAACGTAAGAAAGTGTATGTGTATAAACTTGCAACTTTGTCATTGGCTCACACTCAATACTAATCCATGATCTGGATGAGACTTGCATATCATTAGGAGCATTTGGCATAAAATTCATTGGGGTGACGAGGATTGCTCCAGGTAGATCAAGGACAAATCCGAGCCCCAATGCTCTTTAGGCACTCCTCCCTAACTCTCCCCCCCCACCCATTTCACGCCGATGCGTGAAATATGATATGAATGGCGCTATAAAGCAAAGAGATAAGATGCCGTATCGAAATAGCAAGATCTATCTTCTTGAAAATTAAAGGGATACTAACAATAGAGACTGAACTTGAAGAAGAACTGCCTAACGAGACAGGCTGCTAAAGAAAAAGTAAACATGTAAAACACCAGGTCTTCTCTTTCGAATTCAGTACTTCTTGCTTCTATAAACCAACCCGTATAGCATCATTAAATTTGTTTTTTATTTTGCGGGAAAATGTTAAGTGTGTAGTATTTTTTTCTATTTTAAATTGAAATCGAAGACTCTCCGCTTGCGATAAAAATCTTTTATCGCCAAGCTAGATACTCTAAAAAGCATTCAAAAAGTTAAAGTTTCATACAAAATTCAAAATAGTTTACCCCCTTAAATCAAAGATAACTACAGACAGTAAAACGAGACACCCAGAGTTGCATGATGAATATGAAGCTGATAGTGTCATTATCATGATATTGTAATTTTCAAAAAATTAGCAGACAAATCTACACAATTGTTTCTCCTCTATCTTATGGTGTTGAGGTGAGGAGTGTAACAGGAGGGAGCAGCAAGTCTCCTAGCCTTTAGGTCAAACGCCTATAAATCGTTAAACAATATGTTTAAGGATTATATACTTCATCTAATTTACATACTGATGCACGTCATTATCTACGTCAGAGATCGAAGTTGACATAGTTGCCAAAGTATAAAAAAATCCTGACCCTATTTTAAATCAAATAGATCACGTAATTATTGCAAAAGTATTACCATCTCTTTAGAACGACTATTTAAATTCTTACGTGACATTTTTGAAATAAAACACACTAATTTTGTTCTAAATAGAACAGATTTTATTAAATAGGTAAACATATAAAACAAGAGGTATTCACTTTGAAATTCAAAATAATAAAGTACAAAAAGTGTCAACACCGCAACTGTCAAATAAGTGTTACCAATTTATGCCAAAATTTCACCTTCGTTCTATTACAGTTACAATGTTTTGAACAAATGTTCTTCATAAAAACGCTTTATAATGCATTTCTATAAATTAAATGAAACATATTATTGTGTATTTCTTTAAGTTAACATTACTAGAAATTTTTAAATATTATTTCTACGATAATATAATAAAATATGTCTAGTGGCTGTAATCCCAGTGTACTCGGCAAAGTGATTCTAAAAAAAACACACCTACCGCCTAAATATTTCGTGTTGGTATCATGTGACGTCACGGGCTATGACGCCGATGATGTGCATCGGTATGTAAATTAGATGAAGTGTAGGTAGAATTATGTATCTTCTGTTTAGGGATATAAGCTATAATCATTGACCTCTAATATATAAAAACAGCCCATTGTTGTAGGTGATTTTTCAGTTTTGTATTTGAGTTCTTAGGATTGCCACAGTTAAACCTTAAACCTTTATTTATAAAACCATAAGATTATGGTTTTATATGCGTTATGGACATTTTTAAAATATTATCTGTCATTGTTTGTGTCTGATATTGTTCCATTTCTGCAATATATTAATATATTATATTTTACACAAATATAATTATGTAATATATTAATATAATATATTTTGCATAAATATGATGATTGTTTATTTGTTTTCGCTTAATTTTTGCTTTATTGTCTTTATAATTGTGTCACTGTTATTCACCGATAAGGATATATTGTGCTGTGAAATTTCTGCAAATGTAATGAATATCGCTAGAAATTACAGTACTGAAACTGCAGGCCACTTTTGCTCAAACATGTAATAATCGACAATGTTTTTGAAGTTGGGTATGACAAGGTCGTAAACCTTATCTTGGGAAGTAGTAGAGTAAATAGACTGGCAAAAGGCTTCTAGAATAGATTTTGGTGGGCACTTTGTTGCTAAAATGTAAAACCTATTTTTTTTTCGTTTCTAATATCTTTCTAATGCAAAATCACTTGGTCGTCCAAAAATCGTAGCGGGAGGGGAGTGGTGGGGAGCCTTACAAAAAAAAGTGCTAATTTTTTTTTCGTCATTTTTCGGATCTACGATAACCGAAAATTCATTCCTCAAATTTTCATGTTGATCTGGACATTAGAAATATTTTTATTTTATTTATAAAAATACGTCAAACCATTGTTGTATACGGAGCGCCTTCATACAAAATCACTTGTTCTGAAAACCCATATTTTTAAAATCTTTTACCTCGCTCTACCTCGAAAAATATTGAGTTTAGCAAAAAATTACTTTTTATAAACATTATAGACCAAAAAATCAGAGAACACGTGGGTTTTTTTAGAATTTCGATTGGATAAATAGTTTAAGAAAAAATCAAATAAATCGAACGGCATGTCACGACTGACAGTGCTGAACGCGGAGAAGCGAGGAAGGGCGAGATTCCTGTGCCGAAGTCAAAGCAAATCGACTCTAGTGATGGCGATGTTGTTAGGGTCGATTTTACATTGAAACGCTGTTGTGTTGTATGTTCTATTGCGAAAGTGCATCATTGTGCATTATTTTTTACTAATAGCGCGAAATCCACTGAGCTGAGATTTTTAATATTCATGGTTTTAAATTATTAAAAGTTATTAATTAGCTTATTGCTATAATAAAAATATTAAATATCTACTTAATATTAAAGTAAATATTTTTTTATCTAGAAACGGATTTAACGAAAAGCAGCAGGTCTGACAGTGAACTTGAGTGAAAAATCAGATTAAGGCATGTTTTTTTTTCCATAAAGTCCATTTCCTTTTCAGTTTGTTGAAGGACGCGGAAACTGGAGAATACATTTTTGTTCTAGTTTTCGAAAAATGCATCCTTACTTTTTTGCATTTGGCCATGTGAACTATTCTTTTTGGGGAACATTATATTTGTTGGACATGTACAAATTTGCTGATAAGTATCCAGAATTTCATGAAGACTTTATTAGATAAAATTTTGTTGTGAAAAGTTGGAACAGAAACTTTTATCAACTATGTATAGATATAGCTTTAAACACATAAATACAAACTCAAAAGATGCAGGAGGAATCGTGTGATTTACTAAAACCAGCACAAAACTAGACGAATGGTTTTTAAGCTACAATATGATTGGCATGATGGTAGATGAATTTCGTGCATCATGAGACCTAAGCAACCACTCAAGTCAAAACGTAGAAAGTAGAAAAAAACGGATGAAAATTGATGAATATTCTGTACAAAAACTACATGATCCGTTTTTACGATTTAATGTATTTTTAAAAAGCGTAGATTGTCTTCTCGTAATTTCAGCTAATGAGATTGCATCGCCAAATGTTCAAACATCCTTATTAATATACAAAAAAAAATGAAAAAGAGAGCCTAGCAAAATGTATTGTTACTGTTGGAACTCCCAATTTTTATCAGCATAGAAAAGAGAATAATCTTCCAAAACTTCGTCGCGCAGATACCTATAAAACTGTCTCTGAAAAGAAGAAAATTATTCAAGCTGAGCAAGAATTTTTACAAAAAATACTAGCAATCAAAGCAATTGAAAGAGACATAAATATTATGAGGATATTTTCAAATAGGAATTGACAGCATATCCAATGTCACTTGTACCAGCAGGAGTTTTATCCATACCATAAAATAAATCTGCCTTAGGTTCTATAATAAAACAGTTTACAGTTGTTACAAAATCACAAAACGTGTCACATTTTTGATGGTATGGGATTGATTCAAGCCGTTGGCAAACCATCAAATGCCAAAACATTTGACGACTATGCAAGAATTTTGAAATCAATAGTGTTCAAGAACCCCTACAGCGTTAAAAGGATCGATTTTGTTTTGGATCACTACAAGGAATCTTCCATAAAAACTGCACGAGACAAAAGAGAGGCGCCAAAATTGAATCAATACAACGGTTAATTGAAGGTCCGGATACAGTATTACCTCAAAAATGGAATTAACTTATTAATTGAGTTTTTAATAAAAACCAGCTTATACACTTCGTAAGCAATCAGCTAGTTAAATATTCCTTCACAAATTGTACCGGTCACTTCGTATCCAGCAGACGATTTTGCGACGTTTTACATTACAAAACAAATTTTGGTTTGAATTCTGAAATGTTAGTCTCATCACATAAAGAGGCCGATACCAGAATAATATTACACATTCTGTCAGCAAAAATGGAGGGATATACAAAATGTATAGTCGACTGTAAAGTTACCGATCTGCCCATTTTAAAGACCTTTCAACTCCAGAAGTTTAGATGAGGATTGGAACAAAGGACAACGAAAGATCTATAGGTATTCACGAACTCTCTATGGATTACTTTATAGGTATCTGCAGTTAAGCTACAATATGCCAATCATATTGTAGCTTAAAAACCATTCGTCTAGTTTTGTGCTGGTTTTAGTAAATCACACGATTCCTCCTGCATCTTTTGAGTTTGTATTTATGTGTTTAAAGCTATATCTACAAATAGTTGGTAAAAGTTTCTGTTCAAACTTTTCACAACAAAATTTCCTCTAATAAAGTCTTCATGAAATTCTGGATACTTATCAGCAAATTTGTATATGTCCAACAAATATAATGTTCCCCAAAAAGAATAGTTCACATGGCCAAATGCAAAGAAGTAAGGATGCATTTTTCGAAAACTAGAACAAAAATGTATTCTCCAGTTTCCGCGTCCTTCAACAAACTGAAAAGGAAATGGACTTTATGGAAAAAAAAACATGCCTTAATCTGATTTTTGACTCAAGTTCACTGTCAGACCTACTGCTTTTCGTTAAATCCGTTTCTAGATAAAAAAAATATTTACTTTAATATTAAGTAGATATTTAATATTTTTATTATAGCAATAAGCTAATTAATAACTTTTAATAATTTAAAACTATGAATATTAAAAATCTCAGCTCAGTGGATTTCGCGCTATTAGTAAAAAATAATGCACAATGATGCACTTTCGCAATAGAATAATACAACACAACAGCGTTTCAATGTAAAATCGACCCTAACAACATCGCCATCACTAGAGTCGATTTGCTTTGACTTCGGCACAGGAATCTCGCCCTTCCTCGCATCTCCGCGTTCAGCACTGTCAGTCGTGACATGCCGTTCGATTTATTTGATTTTTTCTTAAACTAATTATTCAATCGAAATTCTAAAAAAACCCACGTGTTCTCTGATTTTTGGTCTATAATGTTTATAGAAAGTAATTTTTTGCTAAACCCAATATTTTTCGAGGTAGAGCGAGGTAAAAGATTTTAAAAATATGGGTTTTCAGAACAAGTGATTTTGTATGAAGGCGCTCCCGTATACAACAATGGTTTGACGTATTTTTATAAATAAAATAAAAATATTTCTAATGTCCAGATGGGTATGCAAATTTGATGAATGAATGTTCGGATATTGTACATCCGAAAAACGATGAAAAAAAATAATTGCATTTTTTTTTGTAAGGCTCCCCACCACCCCCTCCCAATACGATTTTTGGACGACCAAGTGATTTTGCCTTACAAAGATATTAAAAACCAAAAAAAATGGTTTTTACATTTTAGCAATAAAGTTCCCATGGGATAACACAATAGGATCCTGTTTAAACTATACTAAAGAAAAAGTTTTTTACTTGGGCACTATTTTCAATTAGACAAAATACTCAAGCATTAAATTCCTCCACCAACAATTTTCAGAGCATTTCAATACAGATAGGTACTAAGTGATAGTATCGTACTGAACATTATTACCAAATTTAAATTTAAGTAGGCGTAGAAATAAGTTCCAATGACCAGAAGGGCAAAAAGGAAAAAACATTGTCACATAGTGACTATGTCGTTAGTAGTTTCTGGACGAGAAACTATTTGGCATTACTTTATCTAGGAAAACAAACGTCCAGCAACTGTTAGTCAATAGTTAGAATAATAGGAAAAGAGTCTCTAGTTATTTATAGAGCTTTACATTATTCGACTTCTCATACCATTTGTAGATGACCTTCGAAAGGTTTGCAGAACTCATGGTTAACCAATTTTTTTCTGCAACTTGTTAAGAGGACCTTTCTGCTATAATCACAAATATGCAAGATCGATACAAACTGTACGTCCAACGTAATGTAGGACACTTAATACATGTTATCTGTAAAATTCCGTATTAATTTATATTATTATATTCTTAGTGAAAAAAGTTAAAAATTTTTTCTACTATAATTTAAGAACCATACCATATTTTGAAGCTTGTATCTCTTACTTTTTCTCACCCTAATAGGGTATGGGTACAAAGAGTTGCTAATGTTAAGGTACTTCGCTAAATGTGTAAACAAAAAGAATTACTAAGAATAATCAAAGAGAGGAAAATGCAATATCTGGATCATGTGTTGAGAGGCGAAAAATATGAATTACTTCAAGTTATACTGGAAGGAAAAGTACAGGGTAAAAGATCAGTAGGAAGACGCCAGAACTCATGGCTGAAAGACCTGAGGAGATGGTTCGACCGCTCATCCGCAGAAATATTTCGCGCAGCAGTTTTCAAAACCACAATTGCCATTTGGATCGCCAACCTTCGAAAGGAGACGGCGCCATGAGAAGAAGAAGAAGAATAGGGTATGGGGTTGTCTCTCTACTTGTTCCCTTTGTAGATTCAGAAGATTCATTAATTTTTGCTTTCGTCATGGCCATTTTTTGCTGTCCATTTTTTTTCGTACGAGTTGGAACAAGATACTATTAAGCACGGCAGTGCGCCCATATCCTACCAAGGTTATAATCCCACAGAGCTCGTTAGCTCTTTTTGGGCAGTGCTTAGGTAACACTTCTTCCTGTATCATGCATTCCTTGACACGATGTTGTTACATTTCGAGATTGGAGAGAGCGCTAGCGGGACCAGAAATATCTCTGTGGAATTATAAGGCAGTTGTGGTTCGGCTAAATTGTGATTTGTTGATTAAGCTTGGCGTAGATGTATGTTTGTGCGTGTGTGTATTTGTGGCTCTGTGTCATGTTAAATCAACAAATCTGCAGTTAATGATCTAGCTTCAGCCCCTATGTCATGTTCTCAGTTGATCCGGGGATATTTCTTTGGTTATATCTCACTCGCACTTTATCAAAGATAAAAACTTCCCCAGCCAGGCTGTCCTATGCGAAGTCCTAGTCAGTTTAGAGCTTCACCCACTTTGTCGCATTATCTGCGATAATATCTGCCATAGTTGCAGACGAAACGTCGCATCGTGTTGAAATAATTCCAAACCATGGCGAACAAGCCCTGATAACAATGTATCATTACAATTTAATTTAAGGTTTTTACTTGTTAAATCTAATGTATATTTATATTTGAATTTTTTTAGGTTGGCAATAACACCCAACAAGATTCCGGGACAAGTTTAAAGTAGGCTAGCTGGCCATTTTAGACTATTAGATTTATTAATATAACAAATTAAAAAATTGGATAGGAACAGCAGTCGATTTTTTAACCACAAAAACAGAAAAATAATTTTTCCCCTCTTTCAATTAATAAATGTGTGATTTTCGAATGCCAGGCTGAGAAATCGACCACTGTCTAAAATATTGATCAGTTCAAGGAGTTGGTTCTTTTGTGCAGTGTTACAAACACTATAAATGTTAGATTCTCTATTATATGTTACAAAATAATACTAAATTATTTATGTATTTATTTGTTTTAAGTTGTTACGGTAGTGATGTTTTTACTTTTGAGTAAGCCATAGTCGTTACACGAATGATACTTTCTTTACAGATAGGAGAAGGTCACAATAGGCTGTTTTTGGGTAGTTTATACGCGGAGCACTCAGTACTACTCTTTTGGGTTAAATGTTGCGAATTAGGTTTATTTTACACCAGCTAAGCTCTTTGTTACACCCAAAGTACTAGCTAAGGCTGCCAGAAAGTTTATATTTTTTACAGAATTAACTATTTCTTTTCACCTAGTGTATGTCTACCCAGACGATGGAAACTCGCAGTAATATGAAGAAATACGGAGTAAATTACTCTAATATGTCTATATACTACGAACGTGCAAAATATTGTTCGAAAAATTAACATTTTTTATGATTAGTTGCGTCTTTCCATGAAATAATCGAAGTTAATTCCGCAATTTCTCGCGGTTCTTTAAGACATACACGAAGCCATCATTAGAGAAGAAAGTCAAATTAATGATTCCTATCAACCAGATAAACAAAAAAATTTCCTCAGATCTTTTTAACAATATCTCCAGTCCTCTCTAGAACAATATGAATATCTTATGAATGCCGTTTTGCTACATGGTGATTTTCTTCTATTTCCGTGTTTTCGTTTATGTTTATTTAACTTAATTTCGTTAACATTTCCTTATAGTCTATGGTGATATTTTTTCTTCCTATTATGTACTGAAATGTGTAAATTTTAAACAATCATCACTTCAAGCCTTTGCATATTTTTGCGAATATTTTAGTTCATTAGGTATATCTTTTTGCTCTCTATGTCTGGATTATTCCCGACAGTTTTGGTGATGTGCCCGATATGGCAAACCCACTCTACATTTAGTAAACTCGATTTATGGGTATTAATTATTGCTTCCTGTATTTTTACAAAATTGTAATCTCCTGTTACGAAAAACAGACAGTACATTAATACTATACAGCCACTTACTCAGTAGTAAATCTTTGTAACATCTAGTTACCTGACTTTTTAATTTATGCAATTTTTTTAAGTTTTGACAACAGTCAAACCATTTCTTTGATTACATTTATCAGTAACAGGACCTTTTCCTATCTACGACGAACAATCTGCATTAAGACAGGTTGTTTTATTATATAAAGGTTGCCAATTGCCATAGTACATGCCGATAAGTTGAGTCAGGTTACCCAACTTTACGGATCGAGACTATTGTTTATTCAAAGGCTTACTTTATTTTCAAAGGTTTGATGGGCACCACTTTCTTGTGATTTCAAAATATTATGACGATGTCAAACATCGTCTATAATCTGTGATTATTTTAATAATACTACAACAAATATTCTATATTAGTTCATAACCTACAAAGAACGCATTAACCAATACTAAAGTTGTGGCAACACTGCAACATATACCTATCAGACCAGCTCTGTCAAATAACTATATTATGTTTAAAGGCTGATTTTGTAGGTTATGCTCTTACAGCAATCTTTGTAGTAGTGTAAAAAGCTTAATATTTTTATTGTATTAAAATTAGTCTTTTGTTATACTGAAAAAATAAAAATATAACGAATCACGTAATGTTTGCTTCTATACTTTTATTATATTCCTTTTATATAACAAAGGACTCCTCCTGTCTAACAACAGAATTTGAGCTAAAACTGGATCTTGTTAAATTCCAGTGATTCCAAATCTTTTTGATTAACTTAAGTAATTTAAGTGAATATATTATATAAATCTTATCTACAGGAGAATCGTTTTAGACGACATATTTACAAAATTTATATTCTCAATACAGTGATGTGGAATTAGTGTCCGAGAATTTTCATATTATACTTATTTTCTTTGTGCAAATAAGTTCAAACAAAAATGCATGGCTTTGCCCTATTGTTACAGAGGCAAAGCATTTATTTATTGTTCAAGGCACTCACTTTTAAGTCCCGAAGAAACCAAAAACAGTTATTTCTTGTTTAATAATAGCACATATGAATAAAATGTGTAGAGATAAAGAAGGATGGGGACGCCTTTATTCTAGTAATATTAAATAAAATAAATTCAAATATAGTTTTGAAAAAATTTCATACCGTCTGCTTATCCATGGCATGTTTCATCACAATGTGGTCTCTTCAGATGGCACTGTATAGCTACATCTAGTTATGAATAGGTTTTACATATTATTATGATGAACACCTAACACACGAAGATCATAATTTTAATATTAATTTACTGGAATGTACCATAAATGTACATAACGAAACCAAATGTTTGAAAATTAATTGTTTTCAACCTTTAAAAGTCAATAAACATAAAACACGGTTAATCTAAACCACCAAAAAAATTTTATCATTCATTTTTTTTATACAAATGCAGTCTTTGGGAATTTTATGATTTACCTGTCATGTATAAGAAAATATATTGAATATTTTTCAAAACTACACTTTGAATATATTTATTTCATATAAAAATGGATTTACATCAAGTAAAGGTCTCCTCGGTTCTATACATAATATTTACTTGACATCTCCCATTTTTGCATTAATCTAGATTTCTACCGAATCATTTACTTTATGCCAGGAGAAGTCCTCTTTACTATATTATCTATCTTAGTTGTTTAAATAATTATCAAATCATTCTTATTTGATTTAAAATAGTGATTTTTATTTGTTAGATATTAGATTTAGACAGCTAAAATCTAAATAAAAATTTTTGAAAATAGTCTTAAAGATAATAAGATTATATGAATTATTTCAAATTTTTAGCAATAATAACAGCATATTAAAATAATCTGCGTCTAGATATGAAATATGATGCAGAGAACAGATAAGAGAAGAAAAGTATCAATGTTTGAATACTACTTTCAAATTTACAAGAGTTTTCAATTGAATACTAATAACTCAAGAGGCTGGTGGAATTACTTCGATTTGTTTTATAGTTTATGAAAATTATAGTTCGAAAATGTTTCAAACACGCAGTGTAAAATCCAAAGTGGATAACACAAGCAGCATCACAGGTAGAGTTAGTGAATTTCAAACTCGGAATAATATAGCGCAACGGCTTGTCTGTTGGTTTTCTTCTATCTGTTCTTTTTTGCAAATCTATACGCATCTGGCTATTTACATTCCAATAATATTGCTGCTCCTGTTTAAATATAATTTGACAAGAAAGTGAAAAAGAAAAATCACTCTAGGCCCGTTTGACACTGTTCTTTATTATTTCCTTTAATATATATATATATATATATATATATATATATATATATATATATATATATATATATATATATATATATATATGACTGTGTATGTATATGACTGATTTGATAATTTAGTACTATAACGACACTCAGATAGTATTTATTCCAACTAGAATATAGGATGTTGTTGATTTTATATATCAAAGTATATTCACTGCCATCATAAGTGCTTAGAGCAAGTTTTGACAATATTATTTTGACAACAAGATCGCATTCTTGATATTAAATTTACGGTTGTCTTGATTTTTTCTGTTGTAATAATTATTGTCTCAGATAACCCAGTGATAAAAGAGTGGGATCTCGTTGAGTCTTTTATTTTGTAAATAAATTAAAAATGTACTTTTATTCTGAAACGTGGGAGATGAATAGCAAAGATATTACATGCTTTTGGTAAGTAGATCGAGAATATGCGAGAATTGTCAGTTTTGAAGAATTGACTAGTCGAATACAAAACAATTTACTACAAGAATGGTATGAACACTTTTTTGTATAACATTCATTGAACAGTTGAAAGCGGTTACATTTTATGATGTTGCCATCATCATCATCTTCATCCAGAATTGTGCGATCAAAGTTGAACGTAGGCCTCCCCTAATTTCTTCCAATTGTGTCGGTCTTGTAGGCAGTTCCCAGTGATTTTTTAACGTTGTTTGTCCATCGTGTAGGTTGTGTACCTCTGCTTCTTCTATCACCTTGTGTTCTTCACACTGTAATCGTTTGTGCCCATCGCCCATCATTAATTCTGGTTATATCGCTCGCCCAGTTTCATTTGCTCTATGACATCTGCGACACTTGTCCTTATTATTTCCTTGTTTCCCTGTCTGGTTGTTGTGCCATTGAGCTCTATCAGACATCTTCAAGAGGAACCTGCCTAATTATTGAATTATTTGAAAAATTAGACCTTCGAGCAATGGACCACACTTTCAACAGTTCTGCCAATATTTACAATCTCAGTGTTGCTGTTTACATTAGTGATTTTAGCCCTAACTTGTGTACAATTTGTAACCATCAGTGAAATAAAGTTGTAAGTTAAACATATACCTATCTTTTTAAAATTGACAGACATTACTTTTAGGTGTCCTAGAAGTTGGTGTCTCAGCTTTGTGTTCATTAGTGCATGGATAGATTTCTTTCCATATAACTCCGTAAAACAAGTATGATGAATTTGTAATAGTACTTCAATCCTTCCTCGAATTTCTTGTCAACACATCAATCTAAAGTACTCCATTAGTCGACATTCTTTATGTTGAACAGCACATGCAGCTTTATTGAACAGTTTTATTAGGAAAGTTCTTGGTGATTAGATCACTGTTATCTTGATTTCCATTAGATCAGTTTTGTAACTTCAACTTCCCCCATCACAATTTTTTGGGGAATGTTTGTTCTTTTTTGTAATTTTCTCGCTTAATATAACTTATAACAAAATAAAGTTATTACTTAGATAAACCAAGCAAAACATTTTCCAAAAATATCAGATGTACAATATATGGAATTGTAAAAAGCAAAATATCATTAGTGTGGAAACTGGGACAAGAATAATTATTTCAAGAAATGACATGGAATGCGGAGAAACTGAGATAACTTATGATTATATGCCAACTTGGAAAGCATATCTATTCTTAAAAACATTGTTCTGAAGCTATTTTCTTGTGGCATTTTAAAATAATTACTATTTAAATGGGAATAAGCCACAATTAAAGGTTAAAGTAAGTTTATTAACGTTTCAATTTCCACTTCGGAAATCG